AGGTAAAAATGTATATAAGTATGAATTAGAATTGAATTATTATTATTGGGTGATGACATTTTTGGACTACTGTGATATAATTATTACTTTTCATTTACATATAATTTCTCTAGTTTTTAAAAATATATTTCTATAGCAAGAACACAATTGAAATAGTTTTATATATGTCATATTAGTTTTGCTGTAGCTGTTTTCTATTTTTGAAAATTAATTTCATGTCATCACTATTTTTTATTTAGTTTTTTTTTCATAATTTATTAAAGTAAGTCATGAATATTAATTTACACGGCTAATATATATTTTAATGCTTACAATTAAATATTATTATAAAGAATATAGATTGTAATCATACACTATGTATATAGTTTTATTTATTTTTTAAATAATTTCAATTACCATTTTTTATATTTATATTGTTTTTAGTTTTTTTTTTATTTATATGAAAATTTCTAAAATTATTTATCTAAAATATAAAATAAATTATATTAAAGTTAATACATATTTTGACAACAATAAATATTGAATTGCACATTAATTATTTAATTTCTTATACAAATATTTAAACCAAAAACATCGAAAGCCATGAATAAATGGAAAATAAACATATTGGCACAAATTGCATTGATTCCCACATGAAACTTAGGGATAATTAAACTATATTATTTTTTGTAATAAAATCTAAAATGAAATAGTTATTTAATATGCAAAAATATATATTAAAATAGGAAAATAAATTGTTTTCATTTTCAAATAAAAAATTTAAAAATATTTATAATAAAAAATACAATGATATTTCAACAAATTTTTTATAAGTACCAACAAAGCTTATTTATGTAAGGTATATGCATGAATTACAACAACTAACATTTTTACAAAAAAAAAAGACATGTTATAGACAGAAATTGTCAATGAAAAAATCTCCAGGGAAAGTTTTGAAATTAAGACGACTTTTAAAGTATTGCAATTTGAGATTTTATTCTTCATTTTTATAGATTATAAAAAACTTTTTAAAAAAATCCATAATTTCCGAATGGACAGAGTCTTTTACAAATCCCTTTAAATTCTGAAAACCTAGGACCTGTTTCTCTATGGCGATTTGAAAGTGAACTCGAAAGAGGGCACCCATTTCACGAGTATTTTTCGAATGGAATAAAAATCAACAATTTGAAAATAAAAATAAATAAATAAAAAAAACTTTTGTAGGTAAGGTACCAGAAGGAGTAAGCCGATATTGCCCATCACCGACCTCGATGTAAGTTTGATAATCATATCACGATGTACCAAGTTTGGACTAAATCGGACAATCCCTTCGAGAGTTATCGTGAGCGCCAGCCAGCTAGACAGAGGGACACCTCAAGATGGACTCCAAATTTATTGAAAACTTTAAAATGGCCATAACTCCTTAAATATTGAGTTTTCGGCGATATTATTTGTGATCTCTTTTTAAAGCATGAGTTATTGAAAGTTTTAATATATTGAGTTTTCGGCGATTTAAGCTATTATTTGTGATCACTTTTTAAGGCATGAATTATTGAAAACTTTAAAATGGCTATAACTCCTTAACGGATTTGTTCTAAAGAGACCTAGGGTCTGAAACCGCTAATTTGATGAGGCACGTTTTGGATGTATCAACTGATGTATAATACTCTCTGTATACATATGGCTAACGTATAAAATGAACAACATCAACATTTCTCATTGGCGCCTCAAAGTATGCTTTTAATTTTCACTGAAATGTGAGTTAATTGCAGTTTCTTTTCTAAAGGGTTGCAAAGAAGTGTTTGGGGTTAATTTAAGTTTTCATTTTCTCTATTGGGAAAAAAATTTTACGACAGCGCTGTTGGGACACCGAGGCCATAAAATCGGGCATTACACTACATTCTCTATAAGAAGGCAGATCATTATCATAAATTAAACACTACTTTTCTGGAAAAAATCCCTATGAGTTTTTTGGCTTTAGTAATATGAGAAAATTAGAACAGGGTTTGGAAAATAGCGTGTTTAAGTCTCTAGGCAACAGCACTTGTTAAGCTTTTGAAAAGGAATGACGGCCTTGGTCCTGTCAAGACAACGATCCAGAAGGTGTGTGGGGGGACATTTTTTGTCGAACAGTGTGATTCAGTTCAATCGGATAAGAATGAGCAACTCTTGAACGACGATAGTTTTTTAAACATATCAGCTGCTAAATTGCAGCTCCTCACATTCAATATTTCTCGAGGTTGGAAGGGGGTGAACGGAAGAGTGGACACGTTCTTTTGTCAGATCCGTCTGACTTACCATGGTGTTCGGCTTTGATTTACGGAAATCGCACATCGGCACCGATTGTAGTCGGCTATGCAGCAGCATCGGAATGGCATAAGCTAAAGCGTGTATTAGAAGTCCGATAAAATTCAAAGAGCCCCATAGTTATTGATCAGAGGAGCATTTAGGAGCACACCTCAGGCTGCACTACATATCCTACTTCACTTGAATCCATTAAATCCCACTTGGGGACACTCTTCGATCTTAAGTTGTGTGGTAGTTAAATGATTCGAAGTCAAAACCAGATAATTTCTACATAGCATCACGATTAAACTCCGAACCACTTCACATCCACATACTTTACTGGGACGTCTGGACCAATAAAAATCGACATGACTGTCTATACTTATGGTTCCACGATGGAATGGGGGAACAGACAGTTTTGGAGTGTAGGAAAGCTTTGGAAAAAGTTAGATCGTCCATCAAACTCTGTTGAGTTCCAGACCATTGTAACATTTCAGCTAATGAAGCAGCAGATGAATTGACAATATGTGGATCCAAGTCAATTGACATTGATGTCCAGAACTCGGTTAGATCAACCTTGTGCCACCACTTCCTTCCTGAGATACATGAACATTACTTCGAGAGATTTCAAAAAAAAAGTGGCTAGATGAAAGGGGATGTATGTCCCGTAGAAAATTTCGCCTACAATCTCCGGGAAGAGATCTCATCTTCATGGAGAACCCTGACATAAAACTTGGGGATCATCACAGGTCCGCTGTAGCATAAAGGCCATGACTTCTAAGTGACAATGACACAAATTACTGCAAACTCTGTCAAAATGAGGAGGCAACTGAGACGGTTGAACATTTACACTACCACAATCCAACTCTCATCGATGTGAGAACACCGAGGCTTATGGGAGAGCAAATAATAAACGATCTGTCTTCATTCTTAAAAGCAGAACCAGTTAGACAAAAGATTAAAGTTGCTAAAGAAGAGATGATAATTTCATTTTATTCGTGGATTAACCCTTTCAGTGTCAATGAAAATTTTTGTCGAGATAAAAATCTGAAATTCCGTACTAATTTACTAAAATGTGCTCAGAAATTCGAAAACGAAACTAATAGAATAGAACTGCAATATTTTGAAATAGCGAACGTGTCTGTTATTAAAAATATCAAAAATAACGGTTCGTAAGAAAAACAAAAAATGGCAAAGAAAGAGAGTACTTTTAAATGTCAAATATATTTGACAAAAACACTGAAAGGGTTAAATTTTATTATCTTTTAACTGTCTCCCTCTTTTTCTTCTCTATTTTCTCTGATTTAAGATGAGCACAATGGACTAGTTGGTCTCCAATTGGAGCTGTTGTTTAACATAACCTAATCTAACCTAGAAGTCCGGTTTAGGAGAAATCCGGACCACGTGGGGCCAAATTTTCGTTTTCGGCATCGAACAAATTCCGATCGAAATGAATGTTATAAAGTGAGTTTTACCATGATTTAATTAAATGTTTCCTTGAAAGCTAATACACATCGAAAGTAAGAGTTAGATTCTTCAAAATTGTAGTTTTTTTTCTTTTCTTGAACCATCTGCTTCCGAGACAGCGTTTGTAAACTGTTTCATTTCTTAAACTTGGTAATAATTATAAGGTATTAGAATGTGATTATGACTATTGAAACGCTGATACTAAAATTTAAAGAAATTTTGTGAATGCGAAAGAGAAACCTATTCCCACCCTATTTTTAAAATTTTAAATTTATAAACAAAACCAAACAACTTATGGCGTTTTTCTTTCACATTCACTTTCATATCGTCAAACAGAAACAGGTTTTACCATGATACAATAAGGAGGTAGAACAGCTTCGTAAAACTACAGAAATACAGCCCTGGGACTATGCCCGCTTTCTGTCAGACTCATTCAAAATTATATACAACAAGTTGTTTTCATTTTTTTCATATATTGCTCATTTTTAAAATGCGCGAATCGCAATGAAAGTGCCTTTCAATCATTGGTTTTGAAAATATTTTTTTTTTATTTTTCAAAACAATAAATACATACACAAAATTGGCAGGAGTCGTGCACATTTAGAAACAAATTATAATCAGCTGGTAGCTCTACCTTACTTTTTATTGTACCGTGGGTTCTACAAAGCGCAGCGAATTTCAAAGAAAAAAACAATAACTGAGAAATAGAAAATATAAAAATAACGCCTAAAAGTATGCTACAATTCATGAAGAAAATGCTTCATTTTAAAACATTGTGACAAAGGAGAAGAGAACACTTAACAATTTCTTTGAAATAAAAATAAAATAAATGAAATAAAAACAAAAGATCTTTTTTTCAAAAAATACAATTAAACAAATTTATTTCTTTTATTTTTCACACAAAAATTTTTTTAAATTAAAAAAAATAAAAATAAAATAAAAAGTAATAATAAAAATTATTTGTAAAATATTTGTAGTAGTTGTTGTTGGTGATTGATTGTTGTAATAATATTTAAATTAAGTTTTCCAAAAAAATATATATATGTATTTATTTCTTATTTAAAATTTAAAACTAAAGTTTATAGGTTTTGTTGGTATTTTCAATAAACCAAAAGGCAAAAAATTCATATGTGTAAGGGAAGTTATTTGTTTGGTGGGAAGGAAAGGAAGGGTGGAAAAAGAAATTGGGGAAAGTTTTGAACTAAGTTTAAATAAAATGGAGTTTAAAAAAATAACGCACAACGTTTTAATATATATTTTTATTAAGATTAAAAAAAACAGTGGGGAAAAATGTTAAGAAAGTAGTTGTAAAGTAGTAACAGATGTGTTCAAAATTCATTCTAGAAATAAAATAAATTGCATTAGAATGAAGTTTTGTTTTAAGAAACAATAGCTCAGCCTGCGGAGCAAAATTACAAAATTAAAAAAACTAACAGATCTAATATTGAAAATTACGAATTGTGGACCATCATTAATGTGTTTTGTTTCCATTTCAAAATTATTGCAAATTTAAGGTCTCTTTTGTTTTTGTTGTTTAAAACTATTATTATTATTGTTGTTGTTATTAATTTAATAGTAATAAAGCAAAAAACCAAAAAAACATTTCTTAAGCTAAAAAAATCCAACAAAAATTCATTTAAAATAGAGCTACATATATGAATGAAAATTATTATTATTTTTTATGATATAATCCAAAAATATTAGGAAAAGGCATGTTGACGTTAAAACCGAAGAAAACACAATTTTTTATATATAAATTATTTAAACATAACATAAATTAATTAAATTTTATTAACCTCTAGTTAGATTTTGCAAAATAAGTTCATTTTTTCGATAAATTGCCAATCATAAATTTCAGCTACAGATGTCTCGGAAATATTTCCAAATATCAACACTTTTAGAAGCAGTAACGATATTCTATTTGGCCAACAAGGTCATCAGAATTTCTTGATAATCACAAATAAAAAAACTCCATTTGAGTAAAAACTCTCGGAATCCTAACCATACGGGAAATGATTACGTGGTATGGCGAACTATGGGTGCTTGACTTGTAGAAAAAATTATGAAACAGATATATTTTCCAAGTTTTATCCAAGATGAGGCAATCAAGTAAAGGTAAGGTTTCCTAATATTGAGTCTGATGACGTGGCACGACGAATTTTTGGGTTCTTGACTTTAGAAAAAATTATAAAACAGATATATTTTCAGCGTTTAATCCGAGATGAGGCAATCAAATAAAGGTAAGGTAGCCTAATATTGAGTCCATTAAAAAAATATATAAACCTCAAAATTTTGGTAATTTTCCATCATTTTTTCGGGTTGCATATCTTTCTCAAAGTAAGTTATTCGCAATTCTTTGCACTTTATTACTTCTTTGAGCTGAGTTATCGAAGGAAAACAAAATTTCTCCACCTAAAACAATGGAGACATGTGGATTTTACAACTATTTCTAAGACGGTTCAATGATACTGTTTTCAAAAAATGATGAGGCTAAAAGTAAAAATCCATTCTGTCAAACTTTGAGACAGATTCTATTTGCTTTAAAAAATTATTAAAAAGCAGAAGTGTTAATGCTTTTTCCAGAAAACCAAGCAGACTAAAAATCAAACTCCTAAAATATTCACGGACTGAGGCCTGTTATTACAAAAAAATGAACAAATTGCCTTAAAAAAACTGGTGGTTAAGTATAAATAATTGTTTGCATTTTACAATATTTTCTTTGATTTTTGTTGTGGTAAAGTAGTAATCGTTGTTGTTGTTGTAATTGTTGGTGGTAATGTGAGAGAAAAAAAGGTATTTTATTTTTTTTATCTAAAAACTAATAAATGCTACACGAAGAAAAACTAATTAAAATTAAAAAAAAAAGATGAACAGCAATTTTTTTCTTTAAATTCTAATAAAATTAATTTCTTAAAAAAAATCAAGAAGAATAAGCATCAAATATTTTATCTATAAAAAAAGTTGTAATTCTGAAACACAAAACGTATTTTGCATTTTATGTTTTTTTTTTCTTTTTAGTTATAAATCTATGCAGCTGTATCAACCTCTTCGACAATATGATTTGGTGATACTTCACTGGGCGCTGTGGATGCACTGGCCACACTAATTGGTGTTTGTTGATTGTTATTTGCACTAATTGGGCTATTTGTAGCACTGAGGCTGGTGGCATTGCCAGCATCTACAACACCAGCGCCACCCGATGTTGCCGTCGTGGCTGTGCTGGTGGTGCCAACAACGCGTGCTCCATATGGAGCTCCCTTTAATTTGCGTGCCTCACGTTTCTGTTTGCGCTGTTGCATTACCAAACGCAATTGATCCAATTTAGATTTGGTTTTCATATTATCCATTTCGGTAGCACATTTCTGGCAGGTATGTTCGCGTTCTCGTTCGCCGGTTTCACTGTGTATGCGATAACGACATTGGCACACCTTGCGCTCATCCACCATCACCTGTTGTTGGGATTGGTGATGATGATGATGGTGGTGTTGGTGATGCGATGATGACGCTGACGACGACGACGACGACGAAGAATGATGATGGCTGGTAACCATATTGGAACTGTTAGTCACATCTGGTTGGCAACAGGGATAGCTTTTGCTTGATTGTGATTTGCTAACATAATGACCGCTGCATTCGCCATAAGCACATATGGGTGAAGAAGAGGATGATGACGATGAGCCGCCACCACCATTAGATCCACTATTGATTGACGACGACGACGACGAGGAGGTGGAAGCGCTATTGTTGTGTGTTTTAATGCATTTGACACAGGAGGGATGCGAGGAGTGATGATGCTTTGATGAAAGCTGTAAAGAGAAAGGAGAGGAAAAACTGATTAGATTCATGAATGCAAAAAATTGGGTTTCAGGAATAGAATAGATTAATTTGAGCGCATGGCATAATTCTTATAAGGTGTTCGGGTACTGTTCATTCCCTTAAAATTGCAATTTGAGCTAATATCGATAACCTGTTGTAGGGTTAAAAAAATGGCGACAAAATATTAAAGAAGTTTAAAAAATCTGAAACAAAACAAATAGGGTCTGCTTATAAAGGCATCATTGCCTTCACATAAAGATGGAAATGAGAGAGGACAATTAAAGTTATTTCGGACAAGCTTTCTTTGAGTGTTATAAGGATTTAAGCGGCATAAAATTTTATGGTAAATGTCACCTTTTATACCTTTGCTCGACAAATTCCTTAATTGTTTCGTTAATATGATGTGCCAAGGGAATGGTAAAAATATATATTTCCCCATAGAAAAATTTCTTTATGGAACTCCTCTGCCTTGAGAGATGAAGTCCTGCCGCATCGCATACAAGACAGAATGAATACCATGTGTTGTTAGAGAATTGTAAATGGAGTCGTCGAGTTTAACGTTGTCAAGGCGAGGAGGATAATGAAATGGTATTCTGTCAAAATCCAATTATTAAACGCTCAAATCAACTTAATTATAACTGCCGAGTTTTTCAGGCAGAGATTCTTGCAATCAAGAAGGTAGCCGAAATGGTAAGAGAACTTTGTTATGGCATAACAAGACCAGTGGCTATATATGTTAATGGTCAGGCGGCGTCCAGAGCCATCAAGTCAAGTGCCATCAAATTGAGAGTCATTCTTGACTGCAAAAAATCCTTCTTGAAATACGTGACCTCATCAAATTTTGTTGGGTCCCAGAAAATAGCAATATAATGGGGAATGAAATGGGTATCTCGAGGTGGTATCCAGTCGATTGATTCAACGATTAAAGAGACTGTCAAACCACTTATACGTGGTTTTTTTATTATGCCAGCCGAATCGAAGATTATCTCATTAAAGGAGTTGGAAGAACATGGCACTTGGAAACCGGTTGCAAGAAATATAAAAATATCTGGCCGGTAATGTCGAGAAGAATCTGCCACCTTCTATCAATTAGTAGGTTGGAACTAAAAACGTGGTAAGCATATTGACTGTCCATTGTGGTATCAGATATATGGTATATCGAACCTCAAAATGTTCTGACTGCAGAGAATTAGGATGAATAAGACGTAGAGACGAATGAACAACTAATATTTAAATGTCACCTGTTATCAAACAGGAGAAATATGCTATTTGATATGTGAAAGATAGAAATTCTAAGGTTCTTCTCAGACATTTATCCCACCATCATCAGACATATATCCCATCATCTTCTATAAAAACATCTCATGGCTAGATAAACTTCCCTACTTCCTTATCAGCACGACTGATTCTTCCCAGGATGTACACAATAGACCAAAGGTCTCCGAGTAAAGCACTCGTGTGTAGCTATACATCCTGAAATCAAACCAAAGTTCGATAAGATCTCACTTTTGCGTTCTTCGACTTTTCTCCTTTAACAACGCTAGTGGCCGAAGATGATTCCGAGGTGTTTGCTTTTTGCATTCGTTGCAAGGTTTTTTTGTGGGAAATTTCCACTGCTCAACATAAATCTTGAAAATGGAATCCAGTGGCGTTTTGGAGCTTGGAAATATATATGAAAGAAACAAAAAGTTCAAACGGCCCAAAAAGGTCTTCAAAATTTTAACAAAAAACGGAAGAACTAGGTTTGAAAGTTTCTATCGCCTAGGAAATCCCAGTAATTCTCATACTCCTTTCCTTGGCAGAACAATAACGTGTATTTAACTCTTGTTGCCCTTCGTTCATTCCATCATTTTAAACTAGAAATAACTCTTTGGCAAAGATAAGCCGTCCTTAGTTCACGTATATTTCCATGAATTTAGCATCCTTTGATAGGACTTTGGGGCATTTGATGATATCAATTATACCTCACATCGACTCAAGACTAAGTATTTATCAAGACTCAAACTCGGCCAATCTGCCGATTTGTTTTTTTTTTTTCTGTAATAGAGAGTTTGCATGTAAAAGGTTGGCCAAGAAGAATGAAAAATATTTCAAAAAGGAGACGGACTGAGGAGTAGAATTTTGAAAATATGGCCAAAACAAAAACTTGATACCTTACCATAAATTATTTCAAGAGCAAATATTGAATTATTTCAAATTGGTTTTAGATCTGTCTTCTCCCTATTATGCAGATCACCGAATTGAGACGGGGATGTAGACGTAGTGAAGGCCTGGGCAAACTACGAAATTACTATATTTCTGCCATGCTAGTTGCTACCAAATATAATAGCAGGAGAATATATTTTAAACCCAAATAGTCATTCTAAAAAAAAACTCCTATACTTCCTTAAAGTCGATGACCCTCCAAGATTTGATTATATACTTAATTTATATCCTAATTAATTTCCCTACCAAAATAGTTTTTCATAGTTTTTCCCCACTTACATGTTTACTCCTGGAACTATGATGTATAGCACCCGGCGAACCGCTGGCTGCTGCCACCGATGCCGCGGCAGCTGCCGATGTTGATGGAGCCTCAAAGCTAATGCGTGCACCACGATGATATTGTGGCGTTGCACTCAACAGATCATTCAAAATATGTATAACGGTGGATATATCACGTTTGGGACGACCATATCTGTCCTGCAGAGCTGGATTTAGTGTACCCGAAAATGTTCCCGAATAGATTCCTTTGCCGTGATTTTTCATTGATTCTATGACGGCGCCGGAACCACTTTTGCGCGGTGTCTCCTCGCTGGCCGAGAAATCGATTTTATTGGTGAAAACTTCTTTGGATAGTTTGCGCAGTGTTTGGGTGAGATTACGTGATGCCTCGGCGAGTGTGCGGGAATCTGAAACAATGCCGGATTCATCTAGTTCAATAGGTGTTGCGGCGGCTGCGGCCGTTGCGCTAGTTGGTGTCGAATGATTTGATTGGGCCGCAATTGGTGTGGTGGTGTTAGAGTTTGAGGCCAATGGAGCGGCTATCATTAGCGGCGTTGGTGCTGCCACAGTGGGTTTGGACTTTGTTGGAGTTTGTGTAGAAATGTTTAGGGTATCATCGCTGGAATTGAAACCACTATCATTGGAAATGCCACCACCGCGTTGGGGTGTTGTTGAGGACGACGAAGACGTCGAGGAGAGATTTGGTTGCAATTTTACAGAATTGCTGGTTTGTACTCCAGGGTGATGGTAATGATGATGATGGTGGTGGTGATGATGATGGTGACGATGCTTACGGGTAATTGCATTGTGGGCTGTTTTGTGTAACGACGACGACGAGGACGACGAAGAAGAGGCACGCGACGATGCTGAGGAAGAATTGCCGGCAATATTTGTTAGGGGTGGGGGTGGTGGTGTTGTCAAAACTGAACCACCGGAATTAATAGATTTATAATTTGGTGTGCTGGTCATTATAGAGCTTGTACGTTGTTGTTGATGCTGTTGTTGAGCTAATTGTGGCATCGGTTGCTGTTGTTGTGAAGTAATACATGAACTTTCAATGCATTGTTTGGCGCTTACATGAGGTGCCATATTCCCAGCACCACTGCTTCCTCCATTAAGTCTGGTACAGAGACAGGAGGTCAACTTCGCTGCAATTGGATCCTGACAAATTGGTGGTGGTGCTGCTGCCGTTGCAGTATTAGCACTTAAAGCCGTTGTATGTGGGCCAAGGGCCACGGAATTGGAGGAACTATTGTTGTTGTTGTTACTACTATTCGAAGATATACGGGGAATGTGTTTAATTGATGTGGTCTTAATGGGGCTTGAGACTAAATTTGATAAAGATTTGATGGGTGACTGTTCCAAGAGTACAGCCTCAGCTGAGGAGGGTGTATGGAAGGGCGAGGCCACTACTGGCACAATGGCCGATGTGGGAATTGCGTTTGTAGTTGTTGTTTGTTGCCCAGCCGAACCAGCAGCCGCAGCGTTTGTAGTGACGGCAGGTGTAAGACGTGAACCGGGCTGAGCCATAGCAATACTCTTGACAATATTGCTTAGATATGAGCTGAAATCGGAATTTTTGGAGTTTATTGCGCCGTTGACACCAGACGTTGAGGAGGATGTTGGTGTGGGAAGTGGTTGTGCGGCCAATGGTGTTGTCATTCTTACAGTCGATGGTGGTGGTACTACGGTGGGGGTAACATGTTTTCCCACAACCCTTTGTGTTGTATCCATTTCTAATTTCCTCACCGCATTGGCATTCTGGGCAGTGGGCATGGCCACACCAACTCCTGCTCCACCTGCTGTAGCATTTGATGAGGCTATGGATCCTGGTACTACACCACTAACACCATTATTGTGCTGATGATGATGGTGGTGGTGATGATGATGGTGACTGTTGTTGCTGCTACCGCTGCCGCTACCGCTGTTGGAAGATGAGGAAGCTGGCGCTGAGGTTCCACCATTTGTTGCTGCTGTCGATCCACCGGCAGTTTGTGTCGATGCACTGCGACTACTACTGCTGCGATGATGATGGTGATGATGATGATGACTGGAACGTGTACGTGAGGAACTACTGCTGCAATTCGAACCGCTGTGATGAGCGGCACTGTTGACAGGATTTACCGTGCTAAGTTGTAGCTGTATCAGCATCATATGATCACCCAGACGCATACTCAAATTCAATGGAGTCTTGCCGCTAAGAAAATCATTGACTTGGGCATCATTCAGCGATTCAAGGGCTTGCATAACCGTATTCTCGGGACGTTGAGCCTGCAAAACAAGAGGAGAAAATAATTATTAATTTTGAAAATATAGAGTAGTTATATGGTTTCTTAAATATATATGAGGGGATGGAATAAGAAAAAGACCTTAAGCTTATATTTTCGAATTTCAAGTTGGAGCCCCCTAGGGTCTAGGTTTTTGTTATTGGTACGGTATTTTAATTTGAAGGCAAAATATGGATATTCTCTAATAGGCACTGGAGTCAGGTTTAAGAACATCTTTCTCTCCCTTGGTTGTAACATCTTTTCGATCTCTATTCTTCAAGCTCTGTAGGTCTTAAAATTAAAAATATAGCTAGAATAAGATTTTTTTTGCAACTCCATCCACAATCAGACCCAATAATTTTTTGCGAGATATTTTTTTAAACGCCAACAATTTGTTATACGAAAAAAGATCAATGTGCCCGACAATGCCTTGATTACATATTCCTCTTTGCATGACATTGACATTGACCCACCTATAAATTTCTACGCCATGGGTTTTTACGACTCTTTTTTCGCTCCCGATCTTTCACTCTCCCCGCCCGATCTCTCGCTGTTTTACGAGTTTTATAAACAAACATCGTAATTGCGTTTTATTTCAGAATATTATTGTCCGTCTAGCCACCATTGACGCCTCTTGCCATCTCCTCGGCCGTCCATCAATGAATGCAATACCGGCACAACCGCACCGCTAAAACCAAAAAATGAAATCACCAACAACCAAGGGGGAGGGAGGGAGCGTGAGTCCCGCCAATATAAACAACCCCTCATTCATATCCTTTTTCCTGTCCGTTCCGCGGCGTAACGGCATCAAAAGTGGGCGTTCGTTAAGTCAACAAATCGACACCTCTGTAACCCGGCGTTTATTTGCAAAAAATGGAATTACATATTTTCATTTGATATACGTCATTACATTTACAAATGTATACCGGCCTCCACCCACCCAATGTGCGTATGCAAGGAATTTCACACAGAATACTCACTGACTGACTGACTTTATGTCACACTTAATTAAAAGCTCATTTATTTAACTGCAAGTAGGTAAAAGCATTCTAGTAAAAAATAAGAAGATAATGCAAGACCAAGACCCGATGTACGCAGTACTTTTGTGCAGCGATTTATGACCGGGATTTAGTTTTGAATGGCAGGCGGGGGTTCCCATCAGTTTGACTTTTTATGATTTGATTTTTTTAAGAGAGGAACTATTATAAAGATGGGGAAGAGAATTATTAGAAATCCTCAAAAGTGGAGAATTTTATGGTCGCTTGGTGTAGTTGAAGGACATAAAAAATTCCAAATTCGTAGTAATCAGGTCAAATGGATTAATACAATTTTGATCGGTTGACGAGTTTTTTTTTAATTTTTTTTCGATCGGCCGGTTGACGATTTTTTTTTCATTTTTTCGATCGGGGTTTGAGAAAGGGTAATATCGACTCTTGCCAAAGATTGAAGTTATTCCTAACAGTGACGACTGGAAAATTCATTCGAAACTTGATAAAAGAACCGTCAAGAAAAATCGAACGACATTAACGACCAGAATGAAACTTTTTCTTTAACGCTTTCGTTGCGGAGGCATTTGTTTTCGTTTTTTCTTCAATGTTTCACTTCTACAATTTTTGGATGATTTTTGCTGATATCTTCAATGAAAATACATATGACTGGGAGAGGTACCTCATGGAATCGTCGGATCGATTGGTTTAATGGTAATTTATTTAAGGCGATGAATGATTGGCGTTGGACAATGGAAAAACTTCTATCCAAGAGTTTTAGAGCAAATATAAAGAAGAGTCAACCCCCACTAAGGAAAGGATGCCTGATTTAATTAAAAGTTCTCCAACTCAAAAGGGGTGAATGCTTACGAACACACCCATTACTTACAAATAGTGGAAAACTCAATCTAAATGAAAAAGTAGTGAAATAACTGAACCCAGAAGTGACTAAAGCTAGAATTTTGAAATTCTGCATGAGGCCGAGTCGTGGTGCGTAGGTGTGTGATAAGACTGGATGTTTCGAAATTCGTACTACGAAAAGTACTGGACAAACCAAATGAGCTAGAATTCTGAAATTTGGAATGAAAGTCACTAATGGAGTGCAGGATAAATATACCAAAGAGTTTTTGGAAATTCGCACTTTAAGATTACGAAAAGTTCCAAAATTGTACTAAACTTCTAAAATGGTACCGTTTAGTATTATGTTGACGGATAGAGCTAAAATTTGAATTGAATTAAAATTTGGTATCAGAATCAAGGTTGGAAAGTAAATTTGATACATGCAGGCGGTTTTGGAAATATGTACTAAGTGTGCGAATTGTACTAAACGGTACTAAATTTGTAACAGTTTGGTTTAAGGTGAACGGATGAAGTTGGGATTTTAAAAATTTTGTTTTGGGACGAATATTTGTGGTAGATTTGTGATAAAGAAGCGGTTTTGATAATGTGTTCTACAAGTACTCGAAAAGTACTAAATAGTACCACATTTGGTACAATATGCCATTGGGTAAACAGAGCGGGCTTAAAATCTTAATTTTGGTATTAGGGTGTAGCTCGAATATATGGAGGTGTTTTGGGCAATGTTTACTATAATTGTACGAAAAGAACTAAATGGTACTATACTTGGCATTGGGTGAAGGGATAGAGATAATATTCTGAAATTTGATGTAGATGTCACTGTTGGTGTCTGCGGTTAAGATATGGAGGTGGTTTTGGTGTGATGTGTACTATAATTGTACGAAAAGTACTAAATTTGGTATTAGGTGAAGGAATAAAGCTGAAATGATTAAATTTGATATTCAGGTCACTTTTGGTATCTGGGATTGAGGATAGGAGCTGTTTTTGGTCATGTGTACTATTATTGTACGAAAAGTGCTAAATAGAACTATACTTGATACAATTTGGTATTGGCTGAATAGATAATGCCTTAAATCTGCAATTTCGAGGTGCCTGGACATATGGAGGTACTTGCAGGAATTGTGTACTATAATTGTTCGAAAAGTACTGAATGAAAAATGGCTCGTGAACTTATCGCAATATTCCATTCGGCACATATTGAAAAATGAGCTCGGTGTAACCCCATTGAAATTCCAAATAGTGCAAGAATTTACACGGCAACAAAAAGAAAATAGACTTAAAAGAGCTAAAGAGATACTTCGCTTGGCCGAAAGTGGTGAACTGCCGAATTGGGTTTTCTTCGATGGGAAAACATTCGTTGTCCAGCAGTTTGTAAACAAACAAAATGATCGGGTTTACTTGCCAAAGAGGTCAGCTGAAAATGTGCACCTCCGGTTGGCCACCAGAACTCAAGCGCCGGTCATGGTGATGGTGTGGACCACCATAACAGCCGATGGTCGCTCTCCGCTAGTATTTATCGAACGTGGCATCAGGATAAATGCCGAATATTACTGCGAAAATATTCTGAAGGGTATATCAAAGCCTTGGACACGCAAACATTTTGGCCGCACACCTTGAACATTCCAACAGGACTCAGCACCATCGCACTCAGCACGCGTCACCCAAGAATGGTTACAAATTGAGATTGTTTCTCGCTTCATTTCCAGCGCACAATGGCCACCAAAATCTCCGAATACCAATCCGTTGGACTATTGTCTGTGGAGTATTTTGGAAAGCAAGGTTGACTCTAAAAATTACCAAAGTGTCGATTTGTCGGCAATGGGCCAAAATACCACAGAGCACCATTTGGGCTGCGTGTGACGGTCATAATTCGTGCCAAAGGTGGCCAATTCGAACAAATCTAGACTTATTCTAAAATTTTAAGCTATTTCCGACCTTTTTTGCTTTCATTCAATAAAATTAAAAAATTGTAGAATCTATGGCGTTTGACTTTTTTGCAGTTTTTATATCACCTCTGTATATATCAAAATTAGGCCCAAATTTAATACTTTAAACATCCCTTGTTCTGTAGAAAAGTCCCCATTTTTTTAAGCTAACCGCGATGCATTTTTTCCTTTCTTCTTCAGCAATTTTTAGGGTAATTGAACTTTCTCTACAATATTCTACTTGGAAGAAAGCAGAAAAATGTTGTTGAATTGTGTTACTCTTATTTTGCTGAGGTTATTGTTGTTGTTGTTATTGACGTGAATATCTCAAATAACAATGACAACAAGAGCAACAGAGGCAGAAGCAGCAACAACAATAACACCACTTGAACGTTTCCTTTGTGTGCGACTCGAGTCGACTGGCCTGGTCTGGCCTGCCTGCCTGGTTGTAGATACAAAACTCGATTTGGTTGGGTTGCCCTTTGTTGACATTTTGATAATTATAAAGAACAATAAGAAGACGAAGAATAAAAACAATAACAGCAACAACAACAAAATACAGTAGATCCAAAGAGAAAAATATTACGCCTCCCCCTCCAATCGAACAAACGGCAACAAAGTACCAAGTCCAATAATTGCCATTATTTGCACAGATATTTCAATCAGTCGAGTTTTAATTAAATTATTGGATTTTTTTCTTCGGACAGGAGAAGGAGAAGAAGTGGATGGAGGCGAGATCACATGGAGTTGGTATTTTTATACCCTCCACCATAGTATGGAGGGTATATTAAGTTTGTCATTCCGTTTGTAACACCTCGAAATATACATTTTAGACCCCACAAAGTATATATATATATTCTTGATCAGCATAAATTCTATGCCGATTTGGCGATGTCCGTACGTCTATCTGTCTGTGGAAATCACTCTATCTTCCGAACGAAATGAAGTAAGTTGTTAAACATTTATTTAAATGTGTATTATGTCTGTAGGTCTTTTGGTATGGAAAATGGGCCATGTAGGTCCACGTCTTCGTATAGCCCCCATATAAAGGTACCTCCCGATATTCGGTATTTTCATGATTTTAGCTACATTATTCACCAACATTTTTTTTAAATTTGGTATTTGAAGTTCGTAATGGATACTACAGGCTATGCCAGAAAATTATCTGTGCAGGTCCACGTCTTCGTATAGGCCCCATATAACGGTACCCCCCGATATTCGGTATTTTGATGATTTTAGCGACA